TTTGCCATTCCCACTGACATGTAAACTCCTTTAAGCAAGACCTTTTTGTATCTTTGTAGCCCCTCCAGTGGGCCCCTGCATGCAGCTGCCGCTGTTCAGTATGTATTCATGGGAAGAAGGTACTGATGTTAGCAAAAGGACTGTGTGTGGCTTTGGGTTTTTTAGGTAGTTCACCTCCCTTACTAGGGATCATTAATCCAGTGTTTGTAGCTGTCAGGCTGCAGGGTTGGGAGAGGGAGTCTTAGGTTCTTCTGGCATTTCTTCTTGGCTCTTTGCCATCAGTTTTTGCCCTGGAGAAAGGAGAGGCCCCAGCGAGGAGCCAGCAGACATGGTGCAGAGCAGGGATGGGGTCAGTGTGTCAATGCAGGTGTGGGGCAAGGAACCAAGAGCTTGCTCAACCAGGAAGGGGGTGCAGGCACTGCGCCTAGAGCACTCTTGGCTCTTAATCCTGCCATTTCCCTCTCTACCGACCTCTCCCAGGTCTCTCCCCACTCAGTGGCCAATGTGAGCTTTGGGGGCTCAGGGTAAGGGGTGGACAGTCTCGTTATCTTGAGATTCCCTAGCCCCTTCATTCGTGGGGGGCCTCTGTACCAGGAGCAGTCCCAATGCAAGGGAAGCATTCAGCTCTGAGGCTGCACTTCTGGATTTCAAACTTCACTCTGCCTCTCCCTTCCCGTCTAACCTTGAGCTCACTGACCCTGTGCTAGCATCTTACCTTCTCTGAGCCTCATCAGTAAAATGGGGCCTAATAATGGCATCTCCCTCATAAAGCCTTTGTGAAGATTCAATGAGCTAATACAGGACTCTTAGAATGGTGTCTGGCTCACAGTAGCAACTCAGTAAGTGTCCACTATCAACATTATGTTAGGTGTGTACCCTCTCTTGAACTGATGATTTCCGGAGAAAGCTTGGTCTTCCTGCAAGCTTCAGATTTCTGTTCTTCCTCATTGAGGTAATTCTTGTCTCGGTTATCTCAGTCTCCCACTGTGATACCATTTTGTACACCTTGAGGAATTTATATTCTAACGAAACCGAACCTGCTGATGGACGTCACCAGGGTGCATTCTCTTCTTCATCAGGCATCCTTAGCCACATTGCCCAGACACCCAGGATCGCAATCCCATGCTTGGGGATTACAAACAGCAGTGGATTTGGGGTTGGACAAGGAAATACAGTGATGCATGACAGAAATTCAGATGGGAAACCAGTATTGGAAAGGTGCAGTATTAATACCAGTGCGGGGTGGTTTTCAATAGTAATTTCAATAGTAATTATGGTATCCTGACTAGGATGCTGTGGTTCAGCCTGAAGACCATTGCCGGCCTTGGTATCAAAAGGCATGGGGTCCTGTTCCCATGTTAATAACTGTGTGGCCTTGGGTGAGCAATCTTAGTCCACTGAGCTTTAGTTTCCCCATCTGCAGAATGAGAGGATGGCTCTGAGGTTGTGTGAGTGTGATACTCGGGTGCTATGGTGTGGCCATGAAGATGAGCCCAGCCCTTCCATAAGTAGGAAGTTGGTCACATGAGAACATGTGTCTTCTGCTACGTTAAAAAAAAAGTTAACGTGCTTGATTTATGTGGGTCCTCCACCCTCCATACTGCTGGAAAATATGAGCATCACAGTACATGGCAGGGGGAAATGAGAGGAGGTGAGAAGGAGGCCTGTGGGGAGTCCTGGTGGGGCATGGTGGGAGTGAGTGTGGGAAATGTGGATTGGGCCACTGCAAGGTTCTTGCCTGCTTGCTTTCTCTCAAACTGTGGCTCCAATCCTGAATTATTTTATGAAGAAGGACAGTTAGAAAACAATAATCTGGGAGGGCTAGGTTCTTGGCCAAGATGATTCTTGGGTCATCTGGAAAAGCAGCCGCAGCTTCAAGGAGAAATGGCAAATTACCAGAAATAGTGAGGTAGGTAGGTGTTGGGTGGGAAGTGCCTACACTCTCCAGGCAGAAGGAACCCGAACAGTTTCTATTCCTGGAGACAAGTGCCTGAGCTGAAGAGGTTAAAGCCATTTGAGTGCATCTGAGTTCATTCCAGAAGGGTGGAGACATTCAGTGCCACAAATGAGGCGCTTCTGAGCCCTGTGCACTCGCCTGTGGGCGTTCAAAGAACTCAGGTCCAGCGATTCTTCACTGAAGTCCCTGACTGGGGGAAGAGGGACAGGCAGAGCCTCTGACCCCAAACAGCTGCATCTTCCCACAGTGAAGACACTGGTTACTGCAGGCTGGCTGCTCTCAGCTACACCCTGACCCTCAGGAAATCTGCCGGCTCCTTCCTTGTTCCTCTTGTTTGATCCAGGGAAACCGGGATTTCTTGATGGAAAGAACAGGTTGCTCCTGGCCAGGAAGGGCCTGCAGCTGCATGTCTTCACTCCAGAGAGAATCCACCCTCCCAGAGAGGAAGGAGGCTCTTGGCTTTAAGGACCTTCCAGCGGCAGAGGCGGGCTGCTGGGCAGCGGAGGTCCAGTGGCTGAGCTGTCAATCTGGCCTCACCATTTCTGCTGAGCAGGGCAGCGGCTAGGACTCTGAATGTCCACGTGGGTGACCTTCCCTTTTCTGGGATTTAGTGTCATGGGTTAGTAGACAAATCAGGGTTCTTTCCATTCTCAAGTATATCATTCTGTGTGTTCCTTTTATAACCTAGAGGGCCAAAAGGGGCTGAGCACCCTGGGATCGGGGCAGGAGCAGAGGCTTAATCAAGGCACTGGTCCAGTCTGGGTTCTAGTTGAGAACTGGCCCTTCTTTGGAGGAGGAAACTGAGGCCTTGAGGAGAGAAGTGACCTGCCCAAAGTCACACATCTACTTTGTGGTGGAGCCAGGACAAGAATCTAGCCTTCTTGGTTCTTCCTCCCATGCCCTTTCTCTTACACAAAGTCAGCAGTGAGTGTGCATGGTGGCCCTGGGGTAGTGTTGTGTTTGTCCTACAGGCTCTCCTTATGGGCTGTGACCACCAGACAAGAGTTTTCAGAGACTCCTGCCTTAGTGGGGATGCCCCAGGGACAGATGGGCCCAGTTCTCCCACGCCCTGCCCCATGCCCCCATGCAAACCTCCATTCCTTCCCTCTTGGTCCCTTGCCCCCTTTTCCCTCCATTCACAGGCTGTTCTGTGCGACCCAGTCCTGTTCCTCAGCAGTCATATTCCCTAAACTGCTTGTCTGGTGGACTTCCCCTCCCAAACTCTTCTAGGTTTCAGAACTCTAGCGGAAGGAGAGCTTTCAGGAAGGGTGAGCCTTTGGAGAGGGAAGAGTATTTGGAAGATAGGGAATTTGAGGTTCACCTCAAGGGTTCCCCGAAGTGGCAGACATGCCACATGTGAGCCCAGGACAGCAGATCAAGGCTGGGCATGCATCACTCATTGATGACCGGTGTACTCTGGAGTCTGATCGCCCTCTCAGTTCTTTGGCCAGAGAAACTGTTAACTCATTAGGAGGTGTGACTATCACCTGACCATGGGAAGCCAAGTTTGACTGCTCAGGTGGTAAACTTCTGAGTGCTCTGGATTAAATTTTGCTGATTTTCTGTACTCTGACCACTTTCCTCCTTTGCCCCCTGGCCCCACTAAGTCTGCTGCCCACCTTTTCCCCCATGTCAGCATGTGCCTGCACATGCACGTGCGCATAGCCCTAAAGGGAACGAAAACTGAGAACAGTTCTGGGTGTGTTTATGCGGACACCTTGGCTCCCATGGAGAACACACACAGCTCTTTCTCCGGAGAGTTAACTTAGGAGTTGCTGAGCAATCAGCTTTGACGTGGTGGAAAGAGTGCTGATGATATCCAATCATACAGACCCCAGTGCACGTTTCTGCTGTGCGACTTGGACCTCTCTAAGCTTCAGCTTCCTTGTCTGCGGAAGGTGCTAATAGCTGCCATTCTTCCAGTGGGCTGTTGCGAGGATGAAATATGGTCATGCATGTGAAGTGCACACACGATGTCAGCATTTAATAAATCATCACCATGATTAACTATGAGCATGAGCCTCAGTTTTCACCTTTGACAAATAGGTATAATAATATATCTGCCGCCTAACGCTGCTGGGGATTATGATACCTAGAGTAGTTTCTTGTTAACTCTAAAGAAAGGCAAGGATGTAATGAAGACAGTCCCAGTATCACTGATTTCAACAGTGTCTTCTCTGTTAAGTGATAAGGGCTCTTAAGGTATGTAGGTGCATTGCTGGCCCACGGTGCTCAATAAATTCATTGAGATATCCGCCCCCAGTACCCCATTTTGCCCTTTCACATCCCTGGAAGTGCTTCCCAATAGGGTTGTTGCAGGAAGTCTTAGCGTCCGCTGCAAGTTTTAGTACAAAAGGAGGGACTATCTTAGGCGGTGATCCATTTCTTTTTTCTTCCTAGCAGCCACTGAGCCAGGGGTCCCCTTGAGCTTTTGCAGCCAGTTGAGCTGTGTCTGGATAGCAGCTCATATCCACCTCAGTCTGCCCCCTCCCAGCCCAAGGAAGCCAAATCTCTGGTTTGGGCGGATCCTTGGCCCGTGAACCTTTGGCTGAGAATCTGAGCTTAATTCATGGTTGTCCAAAGGCAATCGCTCAGCAAGGACTGAGACGGCTCAGGGCTGACTCCAGATGAGGAACACACTGACCTTCCGCCCCCACCTGCCTCAGTCAGCCCTGACCAGAACCTCGCCCAGCTGTGGAACTCACCGTTTTCTGGTTTGGAAATCTGTCTCTATATAAAGCAATGGCCTTGTGGTTTAATTTTGTACCTCCTTACAGGATCTCCCTGAGTAGGATTTGGGTAGAATCTTAGAGAGCCACAGGGCTTTCTTCCTGAAGCCTCCTCCCTCAGCCTGGGTTGATTCCATGAATAGCCCTGCAACCCCTTGGGAGAAAGGACCTGGCTAGGAAGGTGCTGGGCTTGGTTGGATGGGGAGCGGGGATGAGCTGCAACATCCCATAGGATGCCTTTTCTTCCCATCAGGTCCCTTCTGTACCTGTCACTAATTTCTGGCTGGCTTCTGCTCCCCCCCCCACCCCGGCAGGACCTGTGTGGGGCTACCACCTGTGACACGCTGGGCATGGCTGATGTGGGCACTATGTGCGACCCCAAGAGAAGTTGTTCTGTGATCGAGGATGATGGGCTTCCATCAGCCTTCACCACTGCCCATGAGCTGGGTAAGGCTAGAGGGGGTTCTTGGGTGGAGCGGGGAGGACTCCCTTCTGGGGTCTTTCTGGGTTTGTCCTGGGTGCTTTGGGCAGGGGGTAGACATTTGTCTTTGCTTCCTCATGTCCTAAAGCCTTAGGGATTCCTTCTTAGGGTCAGAGTCTGCCTTAGCAATGGCTTTGTTTTATTTTTTCCTATTGCCCCAGCACAGTTGGTCAGCGATATTGTCTGACTCAGCAGCCAGAATATCTCATCAATTAGGCACTAAGGGGAGAATATTTTAAATACCCTGCTGTCCTCACTGAGCCCACAGCCTGATGGACAGGACCGAGAACACGAGAACACCATCTTGACATTTGCAAAGCAGTCTATCGCTAGGTCGAAATGACCATCCTGAAAATTGCTGACATAGGCTCTCTAGCTTCCCCAGCTGATCCCCCCTCCTTTTAAAACTGCAGAGCCCACATCCTTCTGCCCTCTGAGTCCTCTTGCCTCACCCCACAGGCCACGTGTTCAACATGCCCCATGACAATGTGAAAGTGTGTGAGGAGGTGTTTGGGAAACTCCGAGCCAACCACATGATGTCTCCAACACTCATCCAGATTGACCGTGCCAACCCCTGGTCAGCCTGCAGCGCTGCCATCATCACCGACTTCCTGGATAGTGGGCATGGTAAGCCAGGAGGACAGAGGAGGGATGTGGATTTGTCCCTGGAGAGAGTGCTCACCACCTCTCTGGACCTGTCTTCTATTGTCTAAGGCATGCGTGACCCCAAAGAGTCGGGCTCTCAAGGGGGTCCATTCCACTGGACCTTGCTTCATTGTCTCCTTACCATTTAGACTCTGGGCCAGCCATGTCCCACCTCTCTCAACTCCTCTCTCACGAATGCCCTTGGCTCCCTGCAGGCGACTGTCTCCTGGACCCGCCCAGCAAGCCCATCTCCCTGCCTGAGGACCTGCCAGGGGCCAGCTACACCCTGAGCCAGCAGTGTGAGCTGGCCTTTGGCGTGGGCTCGAAGCCCTGTCCCTACATGCAGTACTGCACCAAGCTGTGGTGCACTGGCAAGGCAAAGGGGCAGATGGTGTGCCAGACCCGCCACTTCCCCTGGGCAGACGGCACCAGCTGCGGCGAAGGCAAGTTCTGCCTCAAGGGGACCTGTGTGCAGAGACATAACCTCAATGAGTACAGGGTGAGTGTGTGGGAGCTGCGCATCGGGGCTGCTGGGAGGCAGGGGGTGGACTCGGAGGCCTCCAGGGGCAACAGGTTTGCAGCGCTGTGCCTCTGTTTCCCTGTCCGTGGTCCTCTCCCCGTCTTGACTCTGAGACTGGAGACAAGACATACAGTAGGTCAGAGAACTTGCTGAAGCCTTCCTTAGACATGTGAGAGAAGTCTCTTACGGGGCGCCAGGAGGTCCAGCCCTCAGCTCTGGGCCTCATCCTACCTGGGGAGGAGCTCTGAACCCAAAGCCCAACACTAGCTATTCGACATTCCTCACTTGTTGGCTCCTTCCAGCCTCCCCTTATCAGCTATTTCTGAACGTGTTTTGTTTCCAGGGAGCTCTGGGCCAGAGGTGAGCCAGCCCCAGAGCTGAAAGGAAGCAGATCCCTGGGCAAAGCTGCAGTAATTTGCTGCATCCCGAACCCAGCTTCACTTTTTGTCAAGATTGTTTTTTGAAGCTGAAACATAATAGGGCAAAAGTTATTTTTTCCTGGTAAAAAGGAGTAACAGTTGAATCAGAACAAATACCAAACCCCACATGTTCTCTGAATATAATAAACTCTTCAGGTCTGGGGTTGGGGTTGCAAAGGGATTGGGACTTTTTCAGACAGATATAAGACATCCATCCTCTCCCTTGATCCTGGTGAGGATGATCCCTTTCCCACCCCTGCCTCGGCTGCAGAGGGGCTTGACTGGGGGTTTTATGGCTGCCCTGAGCTGGGTTTGGTACACAATTATGTAAAATCTTTTTCTGTGTTTTGGAAACCTATATTTAATTAAACCATTAGCCATTTATTGGGCACCAGCCCACTGTATTTAGAGAACTGTGTGAGGTAATGTGGTAGTCAGAAAAAGAAATAAAACCTGGGCTGTCTCTCAGTGGGCTCACTGTCTAGTGGGGAAACTAGAAATGTTACTATGGTCCGAGACGCAGAGACGTGTGTGTTCTGTGTTAAGACTGAAGTGTGAAAACGTGTCATGGGAGAATAAGGGATGGGAGATTAATGATGATTAGAGAGGTCTGAACAAACTTCGGTGAGGAGGTCAGATTTAAAGAGAGCCTTGAGGGATGAGTAGGCTCTCTCATCAGGCAGAGATGGAGCAAAGTTAGGGAGGTGGGGCAAGCTGGAGGGGTGGATGGATGAGGGCTGTTTGGGAAAGATCTTTGGGGGCATGGTTCAGGGCTAGTCTGGGGTAGCTTTGACCATCAGGCTGTGGGTTTAAACTAGAAGGTCCTGAGGACAGACCAACCGTGGTCAGCTCCTTGTCTTGGGAAGATGAGTCTAGCGGATAAAGACGTTGCCCAAGAGGATATTGGATATAGGAAATGTGATCTGAGAAGCATATAGAAAGATAGTCTATCAGCAGCAAAATCCGCTATGTCCTCAATCTCTTCTCTGGACAATCCCCTTTACCACCCTGGCCCTTCACAGAGGACACTGCCCTAATCAGCAGAGGTCAAAGCACAAACTTCATCTTCCTAATCATGCAGCCTCCCTGGCTCCCCGGGATCTCAGTTGCACGATCTCCTTTAATTCTGACCACCAAGGCCCTGTTGTCCAGCCCTCTAAGTTTTGGACTCCAACAATTCTTCAGTCCCACTTGCTCTTCTCATGCCCTCATCAACCTTCTTCTTGAGATTCCATTGTTAAAATCACTTCTTCATGTACACTCATGGCTCCCATGTTCGGGCCTCTCTCAGCTATACTCGCTTGGATAAGGCACTGCCCTGGTGGAATCCAGCTCCCATGTGTTCAACTGTGCTATTGTGGGTGAGTGTGGCTGGAGAAAGACATGGAACCGTGCTCAGCGGTTTCAGTTGGAACTCATAACCTGACAATGTAGGTGGGCCCGCCCTCCCAGCGTCCTACACGATCATGTCACACCTTCGCCTCTCTCCTCCATTACCGACTCTTTCTCCTCATTTCCACTTTTGCCAGTGACGTTTCTTCCTATCTCATTAAGAAAAAAAAAAGCAATCAAGTAATCAGAAGAGAACTTCCACCATCTCCCACCGCCACATCCGCCGTCCGCCCTTCTTCGGTGCCTGTAATATCTACCTTTCCTCCTTTGCGATGGATGAGCTGTCCATGCTCTCATCAGAGGCCCGGAGCTGTGCTTTGCACTTAGGATACTGTCCCCTCTATTCAAGGAAAACACTCCTTTAATTCTTGATCTCTCTTCTGCAGTGTCAGATTTCCCCTCTCTTGAGTGGAATCATTCCTATCAGGATACAAACTTGCTGTAATTCCTCCCACCTTAAACGAAACTTCTCCTAATCCTACTTCCTCTCCATAAATTACAGTGTATCTCTCCGACTCCCCTTCCCACAAAGTTCCTGGAAAGAGTGGTATGAAATTGTTCTCTCCAGTTCGCGTCTTGCCATTTTTTCTCTGGAGCCCATTCCAGTCTGGCTTTCAGTCCTACTCTTCCTCTAAAAATAGCTCTCACTAAGGTTGCCAAATGGCCTCTACACTGCTGAAGTCAGTGATTGATTATCATTCCTCATATTGCCTGACCTGTTAGCAGCATTTGACACAGCTGATTACCATCTCCTCTGGGAACACAGGCTCCACTGTGTCTTGGTTTCCCTCCTCCCTTACTAGCTGCCCCTTCTGGTCCCCTTCACTGGGTCTTCCTCACACTCTTGTTTTTCCAATGTTAGGCATTCTAGCTCTGTCCTTAGCCCTTGTCACTATCCACACTGACCTCTTAGGTGATCTAGACCAAAGGCTTTAAGTACCGTTTACATTTATACGTTGAAGTCCCCCAGATTTGTATCTCCAGCCCAGACCTCTGTCCTGAACTACAGACTGGCATGCCTCACTGAGTCTTGATGCCTCCATGTGGATAACCGATAAGCATCCTAAACATAACATCTGTAAGACCAAGCTCCTGATCATCTGTCCTGAACCTGCTTTGGCAACTCCATCTTCCCGTTGCTCGTGCCAACCCTTTTTTCTCTCACATCTATCCATCTGATATTTCAGTAATTTCTGTTGACTCTATCTTCAAAATAGAGCCAGAATTGAGCCTTTTTTTTTTTTTTTACTACCTTATCTGTGATCACCCTGCGCCAAGCTACCTTGGATTATTGGTCGTGCACCCTAACTGATCTCCTTGTTGCTGGTCTTGCTCCTCACAGATTGTTCCCACCATAGCAGCGAGAGAGATCCTTTAAAAGTAGGTTAGGTCATGCCACATGCTCAGAACCCTTCAGGGGCTCTCCTCCATGCTCAGGATGGTGAACCCTATCTCTGCCTTCATTTCCTGCTTCTCTTGCTCTTGTGATGCTGGAATACTCCAGGCCCATCCTTCCTCAGGGTCTTGGCATTGCTCCCTCTGCCTAGAGTTCTTTCCCTCATATCTGCACGAGTCCCTCTCGTACTTCCTTCAGGCCTTTGCACTGCTGTCACCTCTACAGTGAAGCCTCTGTGACCCCCTGTAATATAGAGCAGCCCACCTCACCAAGGCCCTCCCTCCGTCCCTCTCCCACCTGCATTTAGCCCCTCCTGACATTCTGTATGCACTGGCTTATTTTTAGTTTTTTCTGCTGGGATGCAGTCACTTCGAGGGCAGGGATTTGCTGCACATGGCACCAGCCATTAGTAAGAATTCAACACATATTTGGTGAATGAATGGCACACGGCAGGGCAGGAGTGTTTTCTGGGGGATGAATGTTTTCTGTAGGAACAGGTAGGAAAAAGTGATACCAGGCTAAAAACAATAGTAACAACAACAACAACAACAACTACAACCACACAGCATCATCTCAGAAGCCACAGAGACAATGTTAAGAACTGAAGAAAAACTGGAGACAACAAGGTCTAAGCTTAGACTCTTTCAGTTTATGGATGGTCATCTCTTTGAGAGGGAGCTTCCCTGCTGTGATGGGGACCAAGCCCATATTGCAAGGTACTGCGGAGGGAAGAGGTGCAAGGAGCAAATGTAGACCCTCTTAGGAAATGGAAGGCTGGAATGAGGTGGGACGTTATTGGAGGACGAAGCAGGGCTATTGGCAAGTGTTTCTTTCATAGGAGGAGAGACATGGTGACACCATGAAGCAAGAACTATACGACAGAAGGGCAGATAGAATAACTATGCTGCACGTGGGCATAAGTTAAAGTATTTAGATGACATGCAGCCAGTTCCTGATTAGCTCCATGCGGGTTAGTCACTTTGGATGACGTATGACAGCATTTTAATCCCAGGCTTGTACAACTGGGCTGCTTCCTCTGTTGCCTGACTGATGTGAGTTCAGGGGATGAAAACTTGCTTTACTGGCATCCTATGAAAAACATAATGAAGAGGATACATTTTCTATCCCTTCTCCACCCTCTTAAAAAATGAAACAACACTGCCTAATTCACCTTGAAGCCAAATAGAGTTTTGGGATTGCTTTGTAGTTTCCTATCCTCGTCTCCTCCGAGCACAAACATTAGAACCTCTTATGGTGAAACTTTCTTAAATTCAGCCGCTGATTGAGCCTAAGATCTGGTTCAGTCTGGTTTGGAGAGAAGTCGGAATTACGGAACATTTACAAACAAAAATATTCAGACATCTATGGCAACAAGGTTTCCTGGCAAGGCTGGGGGCTGCCTCTGCTGTAGATTTAGAGAGTCTTGTAAATACACTAACAATAGGTAAGGAGAAACTGAACTCTTGTTCGGTGGCAAGCACAGTGCTAGGAATTTTCATACACGTTGCATCATTTAAACTTCTGTCTGATCTCACACCTGAGTATTATTGGCCTCATTTTTGCAGACGAAGCACTTGAAGTTTAAAGAGGTTTTACTACTTGCTCAAGACCACCCATATGGTGAGGGCAGAGGCGATGATAGAACTTGGCCACCTGACCCCAGAGCCCAAAGAGGTCTCTCTTCTGAGCAACCTCATTTATAACTGGGTGTGGCTGGCATTTGCTAATTACCAGGTTGAAGTGTTGTGTGGGCGCTGTGTACGCTGACCATTTGCTCGTCATTTTTCCCTTGGGATACACAGTGGATTTCCTTCTGGTGGGATGGGATCATGGAGGCTGTACCCGTGTAACTCTTCTGCAGGGTCAGGGTGTGGATGTGCATCCCAACCCCTGCAGGAGTAAGACGGACTCTTTCTCATAGGTGGACGGCTCCTGGGCCAAATGGGAGCCCTACGGCGCCTGCTCGCGCACCTGCGGTGGGGGCGTGCAGCTGTCCCGGAGGCAGTGCCGCAATCCCACCCCTGCCAACGGGGGCAAGTACTGCGAGGGAGTGAGAGTGAAATACCGATCCTGCAACCTGGAGCCCTGCCCCAGCTCAGGTGAGGAGGGGAGGGCCTCTCCCCCTGCCCCCCCCCCCACTTCTTGGCTGCAAATTACACAGTCAAGATTCTCTCCCCTAGCACAAAGTCTGGAAGTGCCAAGGAGCAGATTCCTCTTGGGATCACTTCTTTGCCCACTCCCCTTGGGCAGGAGTGTTTTCTTCTTGATGCTTAGGCTGGGATGCTGAGTGGCCCAAGGGTATGACACACCAGATGGCCCTTTAGTTAAGAGCTTACAAGCCCATCTTCATAAGCAGGAATTCTTTATCCAGGGTCCATGAACTTGGGTGGGAAGGAAATTACATCTCTATTTTTACTAGCCTTTTTAAATTTCCTTCAATTAGAAATTTAATATTTTTATTACTACTCTTTCTATCTAAAATTTATTATTTCTTTTAATCAGGCAAACCTGTAATACTACTAGTACCCATGACTCTGTCACCAATAGAAATCGTGGATATTTTCATATGGCATTTCAGTTGTTGGGGTTTCTCAGAATGCCATTTATTGTCATCACTACTTGAAAATGACAGTGGTTATTAGACTCATCACTGAATCTTGTTATGTAATGGGTTAACAAGGAAGCGCAAGTATCACAAATATGTTTCAATATATATTGATAGTTGTATATCATATAATCGGTATTGTTTGTAACCTATGTGATTTATTTTATCCGCTTGATAACATTCTGCAAATAGTTTCAAAAGACTCCTGGAGGGTTTGATAGCCCAAAACTGTCCGGGATACCTGTTATAGAGGGAATCGAAGTCCAGATTACTGTGGAAGGTGGCACAGTGCCTGGCGGATGCATGATCCTCTGTGACCTGCATCCTTTGGTCCTAGCCTACTTTAGTTCTTTGACATGGAGTGGCGTCAGTGATGAGGATAACTTGGCTGAGGGTAAGAGCTGCTGAGATCCGCAGGTGGCTGAGCATCCTGGGGAGGGCTCTCCCTACACCGCCCGTCCCTTTAGCTTCCTGCCTGTTCTTCCTCCCTCCTCAGCTTCAGGCAAGAGCTTCCGGGAGGAGCAGTGTGAGGCTTTCAATGGCTATAACCATAGCACCAACCGGCTCACCCTTGCCGTGGCGTGGGTGCCCAAGTACTCCGGCGTTTCTCCCCGGGACAAGTGCAAGCTCATCTGCCGAGCCAATGGCACCGGCTACTTCTACGTGTTGGCACCCAAGGTGAGTGAGCGCGGGGCAGGAGACCAAAGCAGAGAGAAAGTCTTTGGGGATCCAACTGGCTGAGCTGCCCCTCTCTCCTTTTCTCCCCCGCGGGGGGCACTGCAGGTGGTGGATGGCACACCCTGCACTCCTGACTCCACCTCGGTCTGTGTCCAAGGCAAGTGCATCAAGGCTGGCTGTGATGGGAACCTGGGCTCCAAGAAGAAATTCGACAAGTGTGGCGTGTGTGGGGGCGACAATAAGAGCTGTAAGAAGGTGACAGGCCTCTTCACCAAGCCCATGTGAGTTCTGGGTCCTGGAGCAGGGGGAGGAGGGCTGAGTGGAGCTGACCCCAGGTGGTGAAAGCTTGGGTCAGACTGGGGTAAATGGGCCGTGCCCTTATACTGTAGAGGCCCCTCGGACTCTTCTGCGAGTGTGATACTCATTCATTCATTTCTTCATTCATCCATCCATCCATCCATCCATCCATCCATCCATCCATCCATCCAATAGAGATGAATGCTTGCAGAGTCCACCACTGAAGAGGAGAGGCTAGTTAGGGAGATGGCAGAGAGTCATTAGGGTCTATCTAGAGTTCTAGAATAAGACTCACCCATGTTCAAATCTCAGTTCCCCATTTTCTGGATGACCTTGAGCATGTGACACAATCTTTGGTATTCTGGATTTGCTCACTTATACAGTGGGTATGACATGAATATATTTCCTGTTGTGCTGTTGTGAAGAATAAGGGTGTTAATCCAAGTAAAATGCTTAGTGTTGTACTTGGTGCATAATAAATGCTCACTAAATGTTCATGATGATAATCACAAAACAAAACATGCCTGGAAACAAATGTGACAGCCTCCCCATCTCACTGAGGCTGAGGCCCTGTCCTCGGGGATGAGATTGAGGTGAGAATGGCAATAAACAGCAGAGCAGGAGGCTAGGACCGAGGGATTCCCCCTTCCTGGGAGATGTGTGCAGGGTCAGCTGAAGAAGTGTCGCTAGGCCTCTCTGATTCCCACCTCCAGAGCCCGGGGCTCCTGGCTTTCTGAAGTCCAGCATATTCCCTTTTATTTTCAGGGGGTATGTGCTCCTTGGAAAGTCCTGACCCATGCTCTGGAAGAAGCTGGGGGAAGCAGAGCCCCCGAGGTCTCAGTTGAGCAGGGATATGGTGGGCTCTGAAAACTTGGGAGTCCAAGGCCTAGATGGCTGTCCAGGAGTCTTGGCTGCCCCTCTGGACACAGCACTCTCTGCTGGGCCCCTAGCTGGGCGACTTTTCTGGGAACTGGGGGCACTGCAGGTGGATGGCGTTCGCAGGGATCTGAGAGGGAGGCCAAGTGGAGAATTAAAGGTAAACACTCCCAGACTTGCTTCACTGGCTAAATGGCAGGTGCTCCTTTCATAGATGAGTGGAGCTGGAAGGAGACTTAGAAATCGTCTATTTTGACCCCCTCGTTGTATAGGTGAGGACACCGGAACCAAGAGAGACTGATTTGCTTGAGCCACCAGGGAGTTGGTGTCCAAGGCTTGATCTGGGTGCCCGACTTCAGGGCCAGTGTGTCTTAATGGGGTGTCTGGCCCCAGCCTTGGAGTCAGGGATGGTAGACTTATTGTCTGCCCCTCCTCCTCATCCTTCTCACAGTTAATATATATTAAGTGCTTACTGGGTGGCAGGTACTATGTCATAGGCTTTATGTGCTTTAATGAGGTATGTGTGATTATGATCTCCATTTTCCAGGTGAGGCAACTGAGAAGCTAAGTGACTTATCCAAGGCCAACAGCTGAGTCAGTAGTAGGGATGGATCTGGCTCCAAAACCTTGGCTTTACTTTGCCTTAGAATTCACCATGTTATAGAGGCACTGGGTGGCACAGTCGCTTGAGCATCCGACTCTTGGTTTCGGCTTAGATCATGATCTCACGATCTCAGGGTCATGAGATCGAGCCCCGCGTTGGGACTCTGAGCTCAGTGGGGAGTCTGACTGAGATTCTCTCTCTCCCTCTGCCCCTGCCCCTGCTCTTGCTCTCTGTCTCTCAAATAAATAAATGTTTTTCCTTTTTTAAAAAGAGTTCATCACAATATAAATATACTGAAGAAGAAAGATCGCAGGGTGATACAGCCAGGGTATGCAGCTCTAGATGATGTGGTGACACACTCTCATACTGCCTTTCAGTTTGCGTGTCCCCCTGACCTCCCTTGGGGTGGTTGAAGCCGTCTGGTTAGTCTCTCTACCCTCCCTGCCATCTTGGTGACCTGCCACTGGGTTTGTGAAATGTGAATCAGCTGTGACTTCTGTGGGGAACAAGGGCCTTATGTCCAGGCGTCTGTCTAAGGCACAGTCCCCTTTCCCACCCCAGGCACGGCTACAATTTTGTGGTGGCCATCCCCGTGGGCGCCTCGAGCATTGACATCCGCCAGCGTGGCTACAAGGGGCTGATTGGAGATGACAACTACCTGGCCCTGAAGAACAGCCAAGGCAAGTACCTGCTCAACGGGCACTTCGTGGTGTCGGCCGTGGAGCGGGACCTGGTGGTGAAGGGCAGCCTCCTGCGCTACAGCGGCACGGGGACGGCGGTGGAGAGCCTGCAGGCTTCCCGGCCCATCCTGGAGCCGCTGACCGTGGAGGTCCTCTCCGTGGGCAAGATGACGCCACCCCGGGTCCGCTACTCCTTCTATCTGCCCAAAGAACCTTGGGAAGACAAGGCCTCCCACGCCAAGGACCCCCGGGGCTCCTCTGTGCACCACAACAGCGTCCTCAGCCTCTCCAATCAAGTGGAGCAGCAGGACGACAGGCCCCCTGCGCGCTGGGTGGCAGGCAGCTGGGGACCTTGCTCTGTGAGCTGTGGCAGTGGCCTGCAGAAGCGGGCGGTCGACTGTCGCGGGCCCCCCGGGCCACGCGCGGCATCCGCCTGCAGTGCAGCCCATCGGCCGGCGGAGACAAGAGCCTGTGGGGAGCCCTGCCCGACCTGGGAGCTCGGCGCCTGGTCGCCTTGCTCCAAGAGCTGCGGCCGGGGGTTTAAGAGGCGTCCACTCAAGTGTTTGGGCCCCGGAGGGCGGCTGCTGGCCCGGGACCAATGCAACCTGCGCCGGAAGCCCCAGGAGCTGGACTTCTGCATCTTGAGGCCGTGCTGAAGAGGACCGTCTTTTTCTCCTCCTCACTCTCCACCCCATTGGTGCTGCCAGGGTTCTGGCCAGCTGGAGCCGTGGGTAGAGGGCAGTGGCCGGGGATCCAGGCCATGACGTCACCCACTTCGAGGGACGAGGACCACAGGAAGGGGTGAGAGGTGCCCTCCTCCGCCCTGGCTTGGGCGGGGGAAGCCAAGTGACTAACGCACAGTCTACCTCACTCCCGGCTCCTCCAGGGCCCAGTCTCTGGGAGAGGCTGAGAGGTGCGGGCACTGGGCAGAGGCGCTGGGGCCCAGTTTCCGAGGCACCTGGAGGATGGGCACCTCCCAGGCAGAACTTCAGGGACCTTGGCCCCCGTAAGGGAGGCCACAGGCTGCTGGAAGAGCCATGGCCCAGCAGCTTGGCACCCTCAGGTGGCCCCGGGGGCTCTAAGCCGTTGCTGAACAAGGCAGGTTTTTATGGTGCTGTCAGCCCACTTTTTCTTTCTGACTGACAAGGACTGAATAATAAAAAAAAGGCTGGTGCGGGCAGAAACCTGGTAGGAGAGTGGGATTTGGTATAACTGGAGCCTGGGCTACCCCATTTGGAAAGAGGTTTATGTGTAGGGGGAGTCGGGAGCTTTCTCATCTTCCTTCTACTCCTGGCCCTCCCTCAAGAGCCCCCTCTTCTTCCTGTGTTGTCCAGGACATCAGGCTGGGGAGAGGGCTTCCCAAGTACGTGCCCTCTGAGGCTTTGCAAATAGGTACAGGAAGTCAATAGGGAGTTTATTGCCTTCTTCAGGAGGGATTGGACCGTTAAAAAAAGATATAAGGGATGATGGATTCTGTGGTGAAGCAGGGAGTTTGAGGAGTGGCCTAGAGGGTTCAGTGTCACCGGGGCTGGGCTTGAGCTTTGGGGGAATATCACCCTGGGTTGGGGAGGAGGCCCCAGTTCCAATGGCTTCTTCCTCCAGAGAGGCAGGTATAAATAGGACTGCTGCCTTAGGCTCTGCGTTGCCCCAGAGAACCTTCAGAGTGGCCACGGTCCTGTCCCCACTAAGAGGGATGTGGGAGATGCCCAGGAGGGCTAGGTGCTGAACATCCACACGCCTGTAGGTGGGTCTTCATCTGGACAGCTGCATGTGGTCTGGCTTTGGGCACATCACATGGCGTTGCAGTTGGATAACCGGGTTCACTGTTTGCTACCTCAGGCTATGCTCTCTGGGTATCCACACCTGTCCCTCCCCTGGGGCAGTGGTGACCCTGGTGCTTCCAGCAGACCTGGCTGTTGTCCTCTGCAGACTGAGCTGTCCAGACACAAAGATGAGTGTGTGGCACATGGCTTCCTGCTCCCTATAGCCTGGCCACCCACTGGGGCTCCAAGTATGAAGGCAGGACCTCTCTCTTCAGGTGCCTTGGGGACAGGTTTCAGGAGACACAAGAATCAATGACCTGACCCAGAGGCACTTGGCAGCCACCAGTCGGAACATGTGTCTATCCTAGAGACGTGTTGGGGATGTAGAAACCAGGGTGTTTCCTATAGCTCCAAGTGGGCAGATGGTTTGGGGTTAGAGAGCCTTTGGTCAAGCAGGGTATTTCTTGGGGGTTTGAACATGGGAGATTCTGCTTCTGAGTTAGGTAACATGTCCTGGATTTTAGTGAGGTGACATCAGAGCAGTGTCATCCCTGAGAAAGGGGTTTCGGTCCTTTTATTTGGCTTCCCCTAATAGCCAGAATCCACAAACCAGCCACCCAGGCAAGCCTCTGGGATGGTGCTCGAAAATCCCAGCCTAACCCTGGGCTGAGCCCTTGACCAGAGCTCCCACAGCAGGGCAGAGGGCGTGCGGATCTCTGAGGCAGGGCAGGAGAATGAAGTGAGGAGGAATCTTCCTCCTTGTATGGGTGAACACCGTGGGGCTGCAATATCCAAAGGGACCCAGGGCGCCAGGGCAGATGTGGACCCCCACTAGCCTAGCCGACGATAGCACTGCACCCCGTGCTTGGTGCACCCATCCTCGATGAGGAGAGGGTGGTGCGGGGGCTGTGCAGAACGGGCAGGGGAATGGGGAGGGTGGGAAGCAAGCTGCCATCAGTGGGGGTGACTGGTCCCCTAGCAGAGCAGCTTTATAAATCATTTCCAGACGGGACAGCCTATCTTGTTCCTGACACAAGCTGGGCCTCAAATGCTCTTTTCTGTCATGATGTTTTTGTTTTTCCTTTTTTTCCTTTTTAAAAGAAGTATGACCAAGACAACTTGGGAGGTTTGTCTTGTCTTTGACCATTTTGCTAATCCAACCATGTTCTCCAAGCCTGAGCAGAGACGAGCCTCGAGGTACAGGTTTCTGGTGATGGAATAAAAAGTTCTCATGTCCGTAGAAGACGAGGAAGATTCTGGGGGCTCCAGAAGCTTCTTCCATGGGGTGTGGACCAGTAAGGATCTGGGCTCAGGAGCCCCCTGTCTCCTCTGCCCTTTGTGTGCACTGATTGGAGGAGTCCAACCTCGTGAGCCTCACCGTGCCGGAGTAGGGGGCTGGGGCGAGCTGAGGGGCTTGGTTGTTCCCAGCCTGGGAGTTGGCTCCCTAAGACACTAGACACTGTCACTTACAGAGCCCCCTTTTGTGTTTGGTTCTTTTGCATTCCACGTGCTGCAGAAGGACGGAAGGACTGGGTACTGGCTGGGCTGTGTATACCGTGTATACATGGGAGCTGGCTGCTGCAGGGACAACAGCCTGCTCCTAATAAAGTTGTAAGTATTTAACATCCGTGTCCTGCTTCTGTGACGTCATCTCATTCCCACCTCCATCCCCCAGGTCTGCTGAACAGGCCCGACATGCCAGCCATGCACTGGGGTCTCCAGTGCTGCGGTGACGAGGACAGGCACAGGCTCTGTCCCACGCAACCCCCAGGCAGGCTGGGGGAGGCAGAGCAAACAGCCGGGGAGCAAAGATCCGGAATAGTGACAGATCCGGGAGGTGCGAGGATCTGGGTGTGTGTGTGGGGGGTGGAGGGGCCAGGAGAGCCTGGCAGAGGATGGGACACAGCCCTGTTGAGAAGGGGGTGGGGGCCTCTCAGCAGAGGGACAGCATGCTGGGGCTTGGTGACCAGAGGAGCGGGTGTGCAGGAGGGTCTGAGAGAAGGCCTCTGGGGCTGGACCATGGTGAGGGGGGCAAGGCACAAGGAGAAGCTGGAGGGTGTCTTAAGTGGGGTCTCCCAGGCACCTGCCTTAGGGGGAAATGCCAAGGTTCCTGAGGGAAAGTTTCATTCTGTTTGACGAATGTTCCCCTCTTCTTAGCTCTGTTTTGGTCTGACAATGGTAGCAAATAATAGGCAGGGGAGTGGTGTGACACATTTTCAAGGACATCCAACTAGGAGTCTAGAAACTCGCGTTGGTTTTAGATCAGAGATCCTATCTCAGGACCCCATTTTCTATCTGCAAAGTGAGAAAGGTAGATTTAATGTTCCTTTAGGGTGTTTCAGCTTTAACAGTCTGGGTTTCTAGGCACAGTGACGGTTTACACTTTGGCGGATGATTGGTTTCAGTTTGGGGCTGAACGGGCTCCCTCTCATGACTTCCCTGCAGGCAGGGGTAAATGACTTCTTTAGGGGCTGATTGTACACCTAGGGGCCCAGGGCGAGGGGGCTGGAGTGGGAGTGTGGACAAAGCTTCAGCATTTGATAGGTAGAAGGTTCTGGTGGAAGGAGGAGTTAGCGAGAAGAGTCCACTTGGAGGCCTGGAAGGGACCAGGAGGGTTGATGTCTAAGCTAGAAGTCAGGAACTTCAAGGTCTTTGTAAAATGTCTCAAGACATTGGCATATTTGGTCTTGTTATTTTATTTTTGTTACCCCTTCTGTTTTGCATTATAGCGACTGCCAGTAAAATATTTCTAAAGAAATTTCCCATGGGTTGGTCTCTGGGTAAAGGAAAATGGTTTCTTTACTTACCATGCCTCTGAAACCAAATGTGTGTGTGTGTGTGTGTGTGTGTGTGTGTTTCCCACGCCAACCAATTTTCCAACTCTCCAGACACCAATTGAGTGTCCTAGAATTTAAGTCATTTCTGACAGTAACTAGCTGGAATTAGAATCAGGTTTAAGGGCTCAGTCCCAAGAGACTGCCTTCACTTAGGACACTAGTCACAAGCAGTGGGTCCCCAGGGTCCCCACACTTCTGACTGACTTAGCTACAAAGTTGAGTGTTCCCACAGTCCCTGGGGAGGTTTGATCATTTGCTGGGTTGGCTCACAAAACTCGAGGAAACATTTACTTATGTTTACCGGTTTATTATTCAGGATATGATAAAAGATATAGATGAACAGCCAGATGAAGAGGTACACAGGGCAAGGTTGGGAAGGGTCCCAGAGTGAAGGAGTTTCAGTCCCTGTGGAGTTGGGATGTGTCACCCTCCCGGTGTGTTCATCAGTGCAAAAGCTCTCCAAACCCTGTGGCTTGAGGATTTTGGGGGAGGTTTTCTCATATAGGTATGATCAATTATTAATGCAATTTCCAGCCCTTCTCCTCTTCCTGGATGATGGAGGTTGGGCTGAAAGTTCTCAGCTTCTAGTCACAGCTTTGTCTTTCTGGTGACAAGTCCCCATCCTGAAACTATCCAGAAGCCCACACAGAGTCACCTTATTAGAACAAAAACCACTCCTGTCACCCAGGAAACCAAGGGATTTAGGAGGCCTGTGTCAGGAGCCAGGGTCAAAGACCAAACAGAACAAAAGATGCTGCTCGTTCCCTTATTACTTGGGAAATTTAAAGGGCTCTAGGAGTTCAGTGTTGGGAACTAGGTGCAGAGACAAATGTGTATTCATAATGTTGTAGGAGCTCAGCAAATAAAAGAGGAAGGAGAGTCCCACCCTGCAGCCAGTTGGGCGGTCCCGGAGAGCCAAGTAAGGTAAGGGGGTAGCATGTCACACTGGGGCCATCTAGAGCAGACCAATCTGCCTGAATTTTCAGGCTTTCTGGAGAAGGAAGGAGTGGTTTCCTAACCTTCTTGGCCTTTGAAGAGAGGCAGGAACAATTTGCTTTGTAATCCATTCTCAGGAGAGGAATGCTTTCTTGCCCCAGTGGAGAAATAACCTCGATAGTTGCAAAAAGGTCTTGACTTCCTGGGCCTCACTCCCCTTGCCCAACGAGCCCTGGCTGGTCCCCAGCAGGCTGAGCTGGCACGCCAAGGGCAGCATGTGTGACCCTGAGAGTCTTTCCGTGACTCCTTGGCTTGCACCCAGCGCTGTTGAGTGACTCAGCCCCGAAGCCCGCAGTCCTAGCAACAAATCCCAGAAGAGCAGCACGTCTCTCTTCAGCCTCTCCAGACGCCACTGCATCACCCCCAGCCCACGACAGGATTGCAGTGGCATGTTCACTGCTCCCCATTGTGTACGGAAGGAGAGGGCAGTGGGGCAGACCCCTTGCTGCCCCAGAAACTCTGCTCTCACTCTTTCTCTCCCACCGCAGAACCTTCTGCCCCGCCCCCTTCGTGCTCTACTGGGAAGCCCTTCCTTTGTTTTGTTCTCCTGTGCTTGTGGTGGTCAGCAATGTAAATCACATTCCGAGCACTGGCTAGAATGTTGTTGAGGGAGATAAGAGTTCCTGGCTTCCAGAGGCATTCCAAAGAAGAAACAGAACTATTTGTTCCCAAAGGAGAGCTATTTTGGCAGAAAGGGCAAGATAGAGAGGAAGACAGAGGGAATCTCCTCATGAAGAATTGGATTCAGGAAAATGGTGAAAATATGGTCACAGTGAATGGTTGGAGGTTGAGATTTCAGTTGCATCCCTAAGTTGTTACAAATAGTCCCCTTCTACCTACTGCCATCCCCTGCCCCATCTGGACCATAATCTTAGACTGTACTTACAACGGTTTAGGCCTCTGTGTCTGGGACTTCTGACCAACTGTCCAGATGACTTTGTGGGACTGGGATTCTAGTGTCAGCAGAGAGGACTCCTCACCTCCACCATGGGTGATCCAGTAGGTACTCATGTCCTGGTGTTGGTGTTGAGGATTTGGAAGAAAGAGCTTCTGAGAAGCCTAAGGAAATGTATTCAGGAGGATGACATGATCTCTTTAAGAGCCCTTTTTGGACTGGGTCTGCAGTGCCGAGGGAATCTGGTCCCAAGACAGATGACAGAGCCCATCTTCCCTGGAACTCTGAGGACCCTTCTCTGTGCAAGCACGTTCTAATCTACAAACACATTTGGCCTTTATAACCATACTCTGAGGGTTGACCAATCCAGTCTTACAGATGCCTAAACCTGGCTTTCAAAATGTGAAGTAACTTGTGCAAAGCCAGCCTAGTGAGTGGGAGCCAGGATGCAAGCGTGGGTTTGTTTCCTTCCAGGGCTGTTCGCTACTCTGCTATACTCTAGGAGGCCTTGATAGCCTCTCTTAAGGCAGAGAGACAATCAACTGTTTCTTTTGCCCTGAAAGATTTCTCGAAATGACCTGGGAGCATGTTCTTGAGGCAAGGTTTTATGGTTTCTATAGGACCTCTTAACCCAAACTTGCCCTGATCCCCATAATCTCTTAATAGGAAGGCTGTTCACTTGATTGCTTATTTGGTATGTTTCCCAGTGGAGCTTCTTCTGAGGTTTTTAGGGCCGGTGTTTGGCTCTTGGAAGCACCTTGCCATCAAAAGAACCTAGATACCAGAGAAGCCCCAGAAACTTCAAACGGTTTGAATTCTTTTGAGCGTCAAAATGGCAGAAAGGAATGACGAGGAATAAAACTGTCAATGGAGTCCTGCAATCCACGTTGTTCTTCATTTTCCCTGGAAACCTCCAGAAGTTTTTCTTCTTCTCTTTTCACTTCCTTAAAATAGTTATTAAATATTTAAAACAGACAGAAGGAACAAAGAATAAGAAAATAAAGCCTAGGTGCTAACCACCCAGTGTAAGAGCTAAAACACCACTAGAGTTGAAGCTCCCAGAGGATGCCTGCCTTTCATTCACTCCCTTCTCTGCCAGAGTTAACCATTATCTTGAATTTGGTGTTTATTATCCCCAGCCCTTCTGTCATCCTTTCACTACATATATCTGCATCCCTAAACAATGCATAGTTTGCTTTGCATGCTTTTTCGACTGTATGTGCAGGGTAGCACCTGCATATACCTGCACCTCACCTGTGTTCTTCTGCAGTTCACTTTCTCTGCTTAAGATGAAGTCTGTGGGAGTCATTCATGTGGATACATGTAGCTCTACTTCACTTGTTTTTCAGTCTGGTATATTACTTCATTATGTGGCTGTGAATAATGGACATTTAGGTTATTTCCAGAATTTTGCTAATACAAGAATTCTGCTGTGAAAATTATTTTTTTATTATGTTATGTTAATCACCATACATCATTAGTTTTTGATGTAGTGTTCCATGATTCATTGTTTGCGTATAACACCCAGTGCTCCATGCAGAACGTGCCCTCTTTAATACCCATCACCAGGCTAACCCATCCTCCCACCCCCCTCCCCTCTAGAACCCTCAGTTTGTTTTTCAGAGTCCATCGTCTCTCATGGTTCATCTCCCCCTCCGATCTCCCCCCCTTCATTCTTCCCCTCCTACTATCTTCTTCTTCTTCTTTTTTTAACATATAATGTATTATTTGTTTCAGAGGTACAGGTCTGTGATTCAACAGTCTTGCACAATTCACCTGCTGTGAAAATTCTTATAAATGTTTCCCAGTGCATGTATTATATGAGAGATTCTGGGGTGGAATTTCTGGGCCATAGGGTGTGTTCATCTTCAACTTTATCATGGGCTATTTCCAAA